CTCAGCAATTGCCTTGGCTACGAACTTGGGGAAGAGCAATTTCTGATGCAGAAATGCAGACAGTTTTACGTGCCGTGGATGCCCTCAGCCTTCGTGTTAGAACAGGGCTCTTCAGCTCTGGTGAAATGGACTCCACACGGATGGAAGGAAAACCCCAGCAGCAGCAGCAGTGGTTTGCTGCAGACTTGCCCCGTGGTGTCCCTGGGGCTCCCTGCAGCGGGCAGGGGAGGAAGGCAGGAGGTCAGCCAAGCCTGCGGGTTCAGGTCAAGACACAGCCTGGCTCAGCAGAGGGACCTCTATCCCCATGCACCCAAATCTGTTGGAGAGATGCTCCAGAAATTGCTCTTTCCCGCCTGCGGTGTAACCAAGGGACAAGGCAGGAAAAAAATATTCCTGCTTTTTCAAGGGCTGTGGTTTTGCACACTCATGGGATCTTGAGCATTTGGCTTAAATACCCAGCTCCTGGAGACATGATTATGGCAAAAACAACACTTTCTGCCCCGAATCAAGCTCATTCTGGATCTCTGTGAGGATTTGAGGGACAGCTTGGAAACACTGTCTAGATTGACCCCAGATTCACACGAGGTGAAGGAAATGGGTGGTGGTTTACAGGCTGCTTTAATCTTCTGTTTTACTTCTGGTTTTTCCCTCTGTCTCATTGATTTGGGACTCCTGGTTTGTGGCCCTGCAGTGACTCAGCAGTGGGGGTTTCAGGGTGCTACAGTGTCCTCTCTTCTGCTTACACAAGCACTATCATGCCTTGTGCTGAAAGAGCTGCTGAGCCCCAGGACAGAGAGATTTTAAATGCAAATTTCAGCAGAAACTTGCACTGTTGGGACTTTGGGTCTCACCACACTTCATCCCACTGTGTCCAGCTAGGGGAACCAAGGGGCAGATGTCCCAGCTGCTGTGCTCAGCATTGCAGCCCACATCGTTCCCTGAGCCTTCACAAGCTGTCTGGGCTCTGCCAGCTGCTCCTGGTCTGGGTTGGAAGGGACCTTAAAGCTCATCCAGTTCCAACCCCCCTGCCATCATCAGGGACACCTTCCACTAGACCAGGTTGCTCAAAACCTCATCCAATCTGGCCTTGAACACTTCCAGTTCTGCTTCACTGCTTCATTCACACCATGTGTTTCAATGCAAGAAAATCAGCTTCATACATGTGGTGGTTTTAGCCCAGCCGGCCAAATATCAAAGAGCCACATGCTTACCCTCCCTCAGTGTGACAGAGGAGAGAATCAAAAGGGTAAAAAGTGAGAAAACTCATGGGTTGAGATCAAAACAATTTAATAATTAAAATAAAATAGTAATGATAATAACAGTGATAATAGAATATTCAAAGGAGTGATGCACAGTGCACTTGCTCACCACCCACTGACTGATGCCCACCCCATTTCTGGGTAGTGATTCTGGAGCAGAGACAACCCTGAAACCAGAACGACAGTCCCAGAAGAGTGAGTCCCAGCAATCTGAGAGAATACAAGAGCTTTCCAGCCAACCCTTATTAACGTACTGAACATAACATGATAGGATAAGATATGGAATATCTCATTGGCATAGCCAAATGCCAGTTTGGGTTTTGCTAATTACTATGCTCCCCCCATGTCCCTTGCACCTGCAGACCAGCAAAACATGGGGAACTTGGAAATGTCCTTCATCTTCCAGCAACAGTTGAAAACATTGGTGTGTTATCAACGTTCTTCTATAACAAATCCCACACTGAAACCAAAACACAGCACTGCTCTAGCTACTACAAAGAAAATTAGCTCTGTCCCAGTGAAACCAGGACAGTGCAGCAACAGGTACCTCTGAAAAAGAGGACAGGAGGCAGCAGGCTTGCCAGGCTCAACATGGGATGCAGGAGGAGCACAGGACTGGGTGAGGGCACTGGGAACAGGGGCTGCAGCCCACAGCCTGGGCCGGCAGCCCCACACTAGCTCTGTGCTGTTCACATCATCACCATCCAGCAAACCTCTGCCTGGGAAAGGACTGAGAAGCAGAGACCTTGTCAGAGGGTCCAGCAAGAGCAGGGTGTCATCATTGTATGTCCCAGATTACCGTAGCCAGCAGTCCTTGCTCTAATGCAGGATGAATTGTGCAGTGGCCTGATCCTGCTCCTTCTCCACAGACAAACCCTGATGCTTGGCCACATGCTGTGGAGGGGCTGTGCAGCAGGCGAAAGGCAGTGCCGTGGAGGGCAGGCGTGCTCCAGGAATAGCCTGGGTTATTTTCACATACGTGCAGTTTCTCAAACAGATGTGATCTCAGACACCATTAGGAGGAAATCCTTTTCTCCAGGATTGCAGTCTCATCCCAGGGACAAATTTGCCTCAGCAATTCTTGCTGATTGGAGATTCATCCGGAGAGCAGACTCACCATTTCTTCCTCCCACCCGTTTTCCCAAGGACCTGGTACAGCAGAAACAGCAGCCGCACACGTCTGCCCGATACAGAGCACTTGCTCACACCCTAGAAAGAGCTCTTGGAAAACTGCAGAACACCAGCACTTGCTGGCAGTGGCACTTTAAGCCCTGAGGTCACATTATTCAAGGAAGTTGGTGTTGGATCTAAGCATCAGGAACAGCTTTTTCTTTTTTAATTTATTTTTTTAATTGGCTTTAATTGGTTTCTTTTAGTGAGAGAGAATGATTTTGTGGGGCTTTGAGGAATGCCACATGCTGTAAGTCAGAGCACACCGGTAGGCAGTTTATGTCTTGATTCCTCTGCTGCCTTCAGAATTAATGAAGGCAGCTTTTTTTAATTAACTTTCCTGATAAAGGCTTTTTTCCATAGATGGGGGCAGAATGCAGCGTACATTTTAATGGGAGTTGTCAGGAAAATGACTGATCTTGTTAGTAATGTTTTTGAAATTGTGCCATTCTGTTAATTCTGTCAGGTCCTCTTTAGTAGCTTGGCTGAGAGCGTTTTTGCATCCTTCATTATTTTTCTTTAATACATGTTAATTTCCCCTAACTCATCAATGCAAAGCCAGATCAGCTGCCTGCTTGGTCACCATTTTTCCTATGTACAAACCTACTGCAGCAATAATTATAAACAGACCGAATTATTATAGATATTCATTAAAAAATTACAATTACACTGAGCCGCGCCACGTTGTTACACTTTTCACAGCCATCGCTTGCTCTTGAGTAAATGGTTTCATTATAAGCATGAAGGGCAAACTTAATACACTTCTGACTCATCGCAAACAGCACAAGAAATCATCCTGGCTGTTCCTCCAAGTGCTTTGGCGGGCTTTGCTCTGAATGAGAATAAAATGTCGCCCCGGCTGCCAAATACTTGTCAGCTTAACAGAGGGGTTCTGGGTGGCAGTAAAGGCGCACGGGGAGGGGTGAAAGCCAGAAATTACGGCAGCGTGGCCTGAATTTCACTCCCCTAGAGTGTGGCTTTCTTCCACATTTATGGGTTTTCATTGCTGGGACCTGCCAGATCCTCCTCGATCATATATTAGAGCGGCCTCAGGACTGCTCTGACTTGTGCTGGCTGCCCATGGAGAGTGCAGAGGAGCCAGGGATGGGACAAGAGGTGTTTCTTCGAAGGATGGGACAGAGAGGCTTGGGCAGGGCAGGGAGAGCGACTGGGAAGCTTGTTTAGGCAGGAACATTCATGGGAGGGCAGTGCCATCACACACGGACAAAAAGCAAACCCAGGCAGGAGGTGGGCAGCAAGCAGAGCGCTGCAGACAGTCACCGCATCGCCTCTTTATTTCTTGTTGTTATCACCGTCTTGTTTCTTGTCTGGGACAAGGTCAGAGCCTTGGAGGGAGGGTCTCCCAGGACCAGGAGGGAGGTCTGTCCCAGCAGCAATGCCCCGCATGCATGACGGTGAGCAGGGTGCTCCAGGGAGGAGCAGGGACTGCTGGATTTCTGCTGCCCATCTTGTCTTTGCACTTTAGGAAAGATCACAGCAGTCCCCCGCCGTGCACTGGCTCCTTGTACCCCAGGAGCTTGGTCACCTCCTAGCAAGCAGCTTTCAGATGGATGTTTCTGGGCTACTGAAAAAAACTTATTCCATGCTAATTTTTTCCCCCTGGTCAAGCAATTCGTTCACTCAGTTTTCACTCTGTTGGTTGTCCCAAGGAGCAAATCTCTCTGCTGGTTGCCACAGCCTCCTGTGAGGCTCTCGCCCTTCGTGGTGTATGCTTTTTGGCTGTGCTCTGAGCAGGGGCTCTGCCTTCAGACCTGCCCTGCTGATGCCACAGGGGCAAATTCAGCAACCCTGGGCCATGTGAGAAGAGAGACTCGCTGCCTGACTCTTGAATGAGAAAGAACCAAAGCTTCGGAGCTTGGGGAAGGACGTGTCAGATCTCACTGTCAGTGAAGCTTTCCTTCACCCTGCTCTAACCAGAAAGACTGTCTTTCCCTTATATTCCCTCCACAGAAAAAGTCCTAACTGCAGCATCCTTTTGAGCTTGTACATTGGAGCCTCCAAAGCCCAAACTGAGCTGATGATGATGATGTTGTGCACAGATCTGCTGTGCCTGGTGAGACAAAGCCTCTGCCCTATGCAGGGGCTGGTTCAAGCAGTGCCTTGTGCTTGGCAGGGCTTGGTCCATGCTGGTTCCCAGTGCTGGTGCCCCCGGCAGTCCATGTGGTCCATGTGGGCTGAGAAGGGGCTGTTCTGCACCTGGAGTTTTGGAAAGGTGTGTGTCTTGCTGCTCCCAGGCCAAGGCACTTCTTTGGGAGGCTGGTCCAGGCTGTGTCATGTCCAGCCGTGGCCCCTGGCCATACCGGGGAGGATGGCACCCCTTGAGCTCCTGGTGACCCTGGGGTCCGTGCTCATCCTGAGGCCAGCTGGGCCCATCAACTCCTGCCCTTTGCTTTTGGCTGTGCTGCCTCTCCAGCCTGTACTACTGAACCTGCTGTTTCTGTCCGCAGCCCCTTTCTCCTGTCATTTTCACCCTCCTCCTCCTCCCCCTGCTTCCCCTCCTCCCTTTTCCCCCCTTACTCTTGAATCTCTATTTCTTCTTCTCTGTTCCAGCAAAACGATATCAATCAAGGTGATAGATGATGAGGAGTATGAGAAAAACAAGACCTTCTACCTAGAGATCGGGGAGCCCCGGCTGGTGGAGATGAGTGAGAAGAAAGGTGGGGGACGTGCTCTGGGGCTGAGCCCAGCCTGTGTGTCCCTGTCTGGCTCACTCATGCCTGGCACCTGCAACACCGAGCTCACATTCCCAATGCCTATGGAGAAGGGCAGGAGCCAGGACGCTTCCCGTCCCCCCTGAACTCAGCCTTTCCACCAAGGTCTGACCCTGGATGTCTGGTGGGGATGCTCCTGCCCTTCCCCATATGCCCCAGGGCAGATGTGCAGCCGCTTCCCCCCACCCGACCATCTCCGGCACCCGGGCGGACATGAACTGCATGCGTGTGTGATACCAATCATGTGTTTGCCTTTGTCTTGTGTTCCCACAGGAAATTCATTACCCTTAGAATACTTGACCGTGAGGAGTATGAGAAAGAGTGCAGTTTCTTCCTTGTGCTTGGGGACCCGGTGTGGCTACGACGAGGAATGAAAGGTGTGAGAGTAAAACCAGACCAGCTCTCGAGACGCTGCCGTCCGCTTTCTCTGTGTCTCCCTACTCTCACACTCCTTTCTCCTCGCATTTTGCCTCCCGGCCGTTTTGCCCTCCTTCCTTCGGAGCTTGGCCACTGCACCTTTTTTGCTCTGTTTTCTTTCCTCTTTCATTTCGGGAGGACTCCGTCTTGCTCACAAGGCCCACCCAGGAGCAAGGCACACTCCTGAGAGAGCCCCGGAGCACCCGGGAAGGGAACGATGAGCATCGCCAACCCCCCCTAAAAGACATTTTGCAAGAGTTGCCCTGTCACATCGCAGCTGCACCTTCATTAATCGAGTAGAAAACTCAGTCTTGAGAAGTAAAAAGGCAACGCTGCATCTTTTTTATTGGAAGATAAAATAGCCTTCGCTTGAAACAAAATGCATGGCCAGAGTAGTAATTTGAGCCTTTTTATACCGGCACTAGGATCTGAAAATAGCTGAGAATCATGGCACAAGCAGGTAATACCATAAGATGCAATCAGTCTAGGAGAAATCAAGTTATACTCAAATAAAGTTTCATGGCTCTGCACTGGATAATAGCTTCTCATAGGAATAATAAAAATTATTTCCTCTTTCATCACATCTCTAAACCAACTAACTGCAAACCTTCCCAAAAACAGAGTTCACTTGTTTTTCTGTGTATCGTTTTCTGCTAGGAAATTAAGGGAAAATTAATGGCAACAGCTAATTCTGCATGCTATTGGTGGTGGAGCAAGAAGCAGTTTTCGAGTTACTTAAGATAATTAGTTGCCCTACAACAGACCCTTATTAAAGCCTTTGTGAAAAATTGGCAGCAGCATTTAGTCTGACTGCCTTGGAGCTGCTCTCTAATTTCTGGGACATAAGCTCTCCCTTCAGCAGGCATGAGGGTGTAATATATTATTTGTTCAGGACAGAGAGGGCCCCCAGCAGCCCCCACTCTGAGTGGGGACGTGCTGCTGTATTTCACGCTACAAACACATCCGGCAGCGATGCCACGTTCCCCTTCAGCGCAGATGCTGTCTAGGTCAGCTGCATCATCCCCTCCAGCAGATCTCCTGCTGGTTTATGTGCCTAGCAAGCAGAAGCAGGGCTAAAAAATCAGAGACACTGGCATGGCCCAAGCTCTGCAGGTGGGATTTGTATCATTAAATGGTGCTGATGGCATCTATGGAGCGCAGCTAGTGTTGCCAGGATAAGGTGACACACGGACAACTTAACTCGGTGGCTCTGGCTTTGCCCAGCTTCACAGAGACCAGCCTGGGCTCAGGCTTGTGAGTCTGGCAAGAGCAGACAAGCTTTCCAGGCCCCAGGTTTGAGAATCGTGGTACCAACTCACCAGATCCCAGATTAAATTTTTAATTAAAAATAAATAAAAGAAAAAGAATAAAGGAAAGAAAGTTCCTCATCTCCCTGGTGACAAAGATAACTGAGGAAACCTGAGGGAAACTCAGCTTTGCAAACTCACTAGCTGGAAGGCAAGTCAAAGATTTTAAAGGAGGCTATTTGCTGCTTTAGCCATGCCATGATTTTTTTCTTTTCGCTCTGTTTTTGTGCTTGAGGCAGCAAGGTGAGGTGAGCTGTGTGCTCAACACCCTGCAGACAAGAGCATCTCTGAAATGTCACCCTGGGGTCATGTAGCCGTGATGGGGTCTGTACCTCAGGGACCAGAGACCCACCGGGAGAGGCTTTTTCTTTTGTTTTGGAGACCTAAAATGTTGAGTGACAAGATCCTTGAGCCGAGCCTTGCCAAAGACTTTTCTTCTCTCATTGTGCCCACCAGAAGCACAGCTGCCTGCCAGAGCTGTTGCTCCTCGTTAGGCAGCTGGAGGAGGTCAAAGCCGGTAGCCGCTGCACATGGGACATCTCGTGTCCTCCCCCGGGGCAGAACTGCCTCCGAGACCAATGGAAGATCTTGCACATACAATTCAAAGGGGAAAAATGAATTTTTTGGAGTGTGACTTTTAATCCCATATCCACCTCATGTTTGCAATAGTTTTTATTTTAAAGCCACACTCCCATGAAACGTTTCTGTTCCTTTATTTTTAGTGCTTTTATCTCTAACACTAATGGTATCCCGCAGCTTTACAGATCTGAAATCTCTGCCCTGGGATCTGGAGTCTTTCTGTGGATATCCCTTTTGATTTCATTATTCATTTACTTTTCTTCTTCTGTGTTTGTCTCTGTCTGTCTCCTTCACAGCCCTGTTGTTGAATGAGCTTGGTAAGCGCGCATTCGTTTTTCTTTTCCATTTTTCCAATTTGTCTGCATATTTTCAGAAGGCAATTGATTTTGTTCGATGTTTTCCTTTGCTCACAACATTCTCTTTTAGGGTGTTCAGCACTATTTAAGTAAGATCAGGTATCTAATGCCACATTTCTCCTTGGAGTAGAGCCCCAAAGTCACTAACTAAGGAGCAGTGACCCGCTGTGGTGAGGAGCATTTTTTGGGAGTGTGTTGTTACAGCCATAGCAAACCTGCCGACACTCCACGTTATAAACCTGCTCCGTGCAAATTAACCCATCACCTCCTACATGGGCACGGCAGGAACAGGATTGCCTGGCAACTTAGGGATCATAGAATCAGTTTGGTTGGAAAAGACCTTTAAGATCATCCAGTCCAACCATAAACCCAACCCTACCAATTCCTCCTCTAAACCATGTCCCTGAGCACCTCGTCTGCCCATCTTTTAAATACCACCAGGGAAGGTGACTCCACCACCTCCCTGGGCAGCCTGTTCCAATGCTTGACAACCCTTTTGGTAAAGAAATTTTTCCTCATATCCAATCTAAACCTCCCCTGGAGCAACTTGAGGCCATTTCCTCTTGTTCTATAGCTTGTTACTTGGGAGAAGAGACTGGCTGGACAGGAAAGTTGGCCAATCCTTTTTGAAGAGATGGTGCAAACTTTGCCTCCAGTCTTGGGGGGGATTTAGAGCCCACCCTGCCTCTGAATTTCCTCGCTGCCATCCCTAGGGAGGGCAGCCAGGGAGGGAAGCAAAGCTGCCCTCTTTCCCCGAAGCACCCACAGCCCCAGGGCAGGCTCACACTGGTTTCACTGCTCTGCAGCATATATTAGATACTGGGGGTGGGGGGTAGCTCTTCAATGTTGTTTGAAGAGCCTGTGTTCAGGGCTTCCCACACTACCCTTGGGGTGCACATCAGGGAGCAGCCCCCCATGTCCATACTTCCCAGCTGTGGGGCAGGGAAAGACCACCACGTCCCTGCAGGCTGCAGGGTGCCCATGTTGCTGTGGAGATACTAATCTTTCTCTCTCTCTCTCTCTTTCTTTTTCTCATTTTTGGTTTCATCTAGGTGGCTTCACCATCACAGGTATGGATTTCTACTCTCCCCTCACCCCCACCCTTCCCTCCTTTTAATGGCCATATGCTCACCCCGCTCTTTCCTCTTGGTTTCCTCTTTGCTTTTATTCTTTCCTGGAGGGAAAGTCTGGAAGGGTAAGAAGGCAACGTGCTGCCCCATCTGGTCACGCTAACACCGTGTCCTCTCACAGAGTGCTCTGCCTGCCACACACCCCTAACCCCCACCTCGGGGAGAGTGAGCCGTCACCCCTGAAGTGACAGCCAGCCCCCCTCCATCTCTTGTAGCAAGGGGAGCATCTCCACTTGGTCTAGCCTTCCCCTCCCTGCTGCCCACATGGGAGGAACGCACGGGACTCCGCATGGCACAGTGTGCCCGTCCTCACTCCCAGGCAGCAGCCGGGGTGCCCAAGCGCTGCGGGAGGTGCTGGAACCCATGGGTGCTTCAGGCACACAGCCCCCACCCATCCCACCAGCAGCAGGGCTTGCTTATCCATCGTGAGCCAGCCAAGTGTTCATCATTAGGGCGAGTGCTGCAGGGGGAGAAGGTCCCAGGTTCTGCACATTGCACTCCCCAGCCCCTGAGGAGCCCTGGAAACAATAATTCAGAGTAACGAGGCTCTGGCCACGAGGGAAATCCCTCTGACCATCATGAGAAGGGTTTTCCTGCAGCATGGTGCCACTTCTGTGGACGAGGGGCAGCCAGCAAGGGAGTGACACTAACCCCATGTGAAGTAGGAGTAGAGTTTACTAACCGCACGGCGGTGGTTTGCATGGGAGGTGCAGTCCTTCCTCCTGATCTCCTGCTGATCGCTTTGATAGGCAAACCTGTCTTCAGGAAGGTCCAGGCTAGAGATCATCCTCTTCCTTGCACCGTGGTCACCATCCAAGGTACCCGCAGCGTGACACCTGAGGGCCATGGTGGTCTAACATTGGGGGGTTTGCCTACTGACAGTTTAACTCCTGTCTCCAGTAAATCCATCCCTTTTTAGCCCTGATGTTCTTCTGCTCGTCCCTGGGGTGGACTGGAGGGGACCTCAGTGGGGGTTTGCACAGGGACAGTGACAGAAGCCATGCTGCCTGGTGTCCCCATGCCCCAGAGGTTGCACAAATGCCAGTGGAGGTGCAGAACTGCTCCACTGCTCTTGTAGTCTCTCCGTTGCTTCCTCCCTTGGGGTCTGGGGCCAAGCCATGCCCTGTGGATGACTCCTCACACCTGTATGACCCAGCATGATTTCCTCCAGCCCCACCATCGCAGCAGGAGTTTCATGCTTTCCAGCTGCCAGCCCCCTCCCCAAGGTAAAGCCCTGCTCAGAAGGAGGCAGAGCAAAGATTTCACACCTATCTCAGCCCTGGGGTTGCTGGCACCTCTCTCTAGTCATAACAGGCTGATGGAAATGTCCTGACCATGCCCTGATGCAGACCTGGAGAAATGGGAAGCAGCCTTAGTGATGATCTGTGCCCTCCCAGCATCCCTGTGGATGGTGATAAGCTATTCCCCAGCCCTGAGGAGGAACTGGACTCCTTCTGAGGTTGGACGAGTTGCACACCTCTTGCTAGCATTTCCCAGCAAACCTACCTTGTCTCTTGCTCCATGTCCTCCTCCTTCTCAGCTGCTCTGTCACTCACACTCCCAGCCAGAGGCTTCCTGAGCTCCCCCTCTGACAGGAAGCCAGCTCCATAGAGTGACCAGCCAGGCCTGGCTCACTGACAGGCTCTTTGCTTTGCAGAGGAGAATGAAGAAAAGCAGCCACTGACCAGCAAGGAGGAGGCAGTTTAGAGCGTCGAATCGCGGAGATGGGGCGCCCAGTCCTGGGGGAGCACACCAAGCTTGAAATCATCATTGAGGAATCCTATGAGTTCAAGGTGCTGTCCACATCCCCTGTCCCTGTTCTTTTTCCCCTCCAGCTGGGGACCCTTCTTTTGGGTTTGCACAGCATTGGCAGGCACATGTTAATGGCATCACAGCAAAGCAAGGCAGCTCCTGGCATCACAAGGTCTCAGAGCAAGACCAAGGGACACTTTGAAAGGTAGCTGAGCCACGGCATGATGAAAGGGTGAGGTCACTCCAGTGAGATGGCAGTGGGTTCAAATACACTCTGCATCCTCACTCTGTCCATTAGCCCACAGCCACAGTCCTTGGGGGATGATCCCAAACTTTGTCCCACTCACAGACTCTTTGTGGTTATTATTATACAAGCCCATCAATGTGATGAGCCTCAGAGCTGACCGAGCTCCAGAATGCTGCAGGTTGCTTTGAAATATAACCTCATCCTCCCAGTGATGTGCTACACCCAAGTCCTACTTACGGGTGGTCTTGAGTGAGCCCCGAGCCTGGGGCTCCCAGCGCAAAGGGCTGATCCCCTATATACAAGTGATGGTTGTGAAGCTGAGCTGCTGTGAATGCGTGTGCCAGACCAAGAGCTGAGAACTGGCTGTTTCATTATCTTTTCCATTTTCCTGTAGTATCAAAAATAACAGACCACCCTTACCGTGTTGCAGCAGTGGCTGCCCCCCTCCCACGGCTCTGCTGCCTGCTGTCACATGTGCCTGAGACATCACAGCCCTCAGGCTGCCTGCCCAGGAGCATCTCCTGCCCACTGCTACCGCAGCACCTTCCCTGCCAGCACTGAGCTCCAGCTCCTGGGCAGCACAGAGAGGTAGAGCCCAGCTCTGCATATGAGCCTTGACCAAGTCCCAGTTAGTGCTTTGAAGCAGACCAGTAAAAATTCCCAAGGTGTTGGGAACAACAGGAGCTGTGGCTCTTTTAGCACTATTTGCTGTTAAATCTCCACCGAGGTGGATCAAACTCCTGTCATGAGCAGGTTTCAAAAGGTCTTTTTTGAGTGGCAGTGAGGGGAATTGCAAGTACTTACATTTGCTTTCACTGCTGGGGCTCTTGACCTGAGCTTAAAATCTACTAAGCTTTTCCATAAGTGCATGGCTGTAAGCAGCAGCACCAGTGGGTTTTAGCCCAGCATCTCCAGCCTGATAGCTCCTAATTCTCTCCTCTGCATCTCCATCCACAGAATACAGTGGACAAGCTCATTAAGAAGACAAACCTGGCCCTGGTGGTTGGCACAAACAGCTGGAGAGAGCAGTTTATTGAGGCTATTACTGTCAGCGCGGGTGAGTTTGGACCACAGCTCCAGGTGAATTATGATCAACCTCGCTCGTGTCTCAGCTTGGTTATATCAGTAATACAGACCATAGCGGAGCAGCAGGAGGCAAAACAGGTGGCAGAGTTATTTACAGCATCTGCATAAATAAGACAGCTGATTAAACCCTTTTGTGAGATCACCTTGTCTGGTGTGTAGAAAACCTCCTGCATTAAGTGTGTCTGTAGCACCCAGCAGAGAAACACCCTGGCTGTTACCAGATGGCAGAGGAGAAAAGTCATTTTCAGTGAGAGAGATTTGAGAGGTGAACGCAGTGTTTAGATTCAGCGTGGTATAAATGATGCTGGTGAGTATAAATGAGTGCTCCCCATCCCTGCTGCTCCCTGTACTGCTGCGGTGAGGACAACACGGTAGCTGGGGTGCCAAGTCCTGAAGACAGCCACCGTGTCCTCCTCTTTGTGGGCCAAAATCTGCCCTTGACCCTCTGCTTTCAGGACTTCCTGCTGCTCCAGTCAGCTGTGGCTGGAGGCTAGGGCTCAGCAGCACGTGATATCTGTGGTCGTATCAGCTCATGTCTTTCCTCTTGTGGAGAATTACCTTTCCCTCAGAAATGCCCCGTTGTACCATTCTTACAGGCGCCAGTGCCACATTTACCAGTATGCCCAGTACAGGCTATATTAACATCTGCGGAAGATGAAAGAAAGAAGGTCTCCTCCAGATGTAACCAGTATGCCCAGTACAGGCTATATTAACATTCCCACATCTGCAGAAGATGAAAGAAAGAAGGTCTCTTCCAGATGTGGTTTTAACAGCTGGAGACACTATAACTCACTAGCTGGATGTTACAATCTCACAGCCCAGCCTGGGCTGCATGTGTGCCTGTATTAGGGCAAAATCAGCCAGCTTAAATGAAATCACGGGGGAAGGCAATTTGAGCTCATCTCCCTAATTGTGCATTGAAATGCACGAGGGATCACTCACACTCACACGTCCTACCTCGAGCTCTGCTGTACAGGGTGAGCTCTGCCCAGCACAAAGTAATGAAAAGTGATGGCTGTACCATTTACCCTCTGCCTCTGAAAATGAGGACAGGACATTGTGCAGTAGCTAGCTCCTCAAATTGTGATCCCTCTTCTTGTAGTTATTCTTAGAGCCTCCAGCCAAGAGCTTCCCATTATTTTGGATACAGCATGAACACATCATGCAAGACAATCCTCGCTGCAGGTTTTGTAGGTAATACGGCTAAAATAATCTATGCCAGAATCAATTATTTAATTGCATCCTGTATTAAAGCAAAAATAATTGCTGGTACTCGCATCCCACCTCTGTGACATGTGTAAAGACTGCAGTTACGTGAAAGCCCCATTGCCACCAGGTCTTGAATATACAGCCACCATCAGTGCCAACAGGACGATTAACAAGCATCTAATAAATGTGGCATATTTGCAGCTTATTTTCAGCGGACATGAGGTGCCCCTTGCCATTGGGGAACAGTAGTTTGTCTCTGAGCTCTGGACCTACATTTTTGCCAGGATTTAGCTCCTCAGGCTTTGTGCCGAGCAAGTTAAAATGCCTCAAACGCTGGAGTTTGGGTTTGAGTTTTTCCCCGCAGCCCACCATGGAGAGCAGATGAAAATCACACATTCCCCCTTCAACATGTAACCACCCAGCTGAAAAAAGAAATGTTAAAAACCCATTTCCCACCCGATGAGCAACTGGTGGTGATGTTGGCAGGGAGGCTGAGCAATAGAGCAGCAGGAGGTCAGGTCTGTGGAAGGCCAGTGCAGAGGCAGGCAAGACTGTGCCACACCGTGCCATGCCAGCCCGTGCTGTCCATGGGGCTGAGCTCCAGCCCCTCACCCATAGCTGCCTTCAGTGTGCACACAACAGCCCATGAAGTTTCCTCCACAGCAAAAAACATCCTGGGGTCTCTAAGCCTGTTCCTGAATGTACCTCTGGGTCACCATCCAACCTCATTCTGCGTTTCAAGTCACCTTCACAGGATCTGGCCAGCTCTTCAGAAAAGAGACGTCATTGCTGCTTAACAAAATGATAGACAGGTCTGGTTGATCGTTATGACAGTGACACTCATGTTCATTTTTCAGTCTGTTTTATCATCTCCATAAAGATTTAGATCCATGACAGTCCTGCTGCCGTGCTGCTTGAGAGAGGATTAAAATACCTGCTGCAAAATCACAACGTGAGCACAGCAGAGTGTATCCTACCAGTATCAGCCTTTGTGCAATGAGCTAAAAACAAACAGGCTAGCAGAGGCTTCCTGGGCTGAAAAACTGTTCCTTATCTCCACGACAGTGCACAGGAACAGGGTATTTATATCTGCCAAAATAATAACACCACGCCACTGATTAGCTACTGTTTCTTGCCATAGTGAGTTTGAAGCTCGAAAGCCAAACACCATATAATTTTCCATCAAGTTATTGTAGAGACATCAGGTTTCCCACTGCCTCTATCTTATATGTTGGTCTTGATCTACAAACATGCTTTAAAGACACACGGTGTGCACAAAGTTGCACTCAAACAGGGTGCTGAGTAGGACTTTTCCCTGGTTGGTCATGGCTTTATTTAGCCAAATATTGGAAACCTCCAAAGATGATGTCCATCAGCCAGGGTATGTGTCCCAGGGCTGCACCACTCTCCTGGAGGAGACACTTCTCCTGATGTTACCATCCAAGCTGCAGTTGGTGGCCGTTGCCCTCTGTTGTATCATTTGTCAGTGCAGAAGGGACTTTCACTCCATCCTCTCTGTATCTGCTCTCCAAGTCACTGTAGGCTGTTGCTTGGTTCCCTCCAACCTCCCCTCCTCCTGATTCACTGAGCCAGCTCCTTCCACCTCTCCCCATAGGCAACATCTTCCAGGCTCCAGTCATCTTGGTGGCCCCACTGAATCCCCTCCAGTTTCACCCTGCCTTGCTCTCACTGGCTCCATCACTACCTGGATGAGAGCCCCAAGGATGCCAGCAGAGCGCAAGCTTTACTGGAGCTGGGAAAAGCCAAGAGCAGGTTGGCTCCCTTACAGCTTACCAAATCTCTTGAGGGTGATCACAATTTGGGTGATCACAATTTCGGTGATCCCTGGGCCTTTTCTTTTTCTTGCTCCCGTGTGCTGCATGCTCTCTGTGGGACACAGGGAATAGCCAGGAGGGAAATCTTCAGTGTATGGGGTTTGGCTTCCACTTGCCCAGGAAGGATGTCACGTCTTGATCCTCCAATTGGCTTTTCATCACCACCTTTTTGATGAGGCAGAAGCGATTATTGTTATGAGCAGCAGCAGAGGAAGCAGCTCACCAGCAGCTTCTCCCAGTAACTCTGTTGTCATGGTGCAGAGCCACTGTTTGAACATGGGGTTAATTGACACCCATGTGTTTGTACACAGCGTACAGCAAGGCCATTGTATTCTCCCTGTGGGAGGCTTTATACATTTTGATATTCAATCAAACATCTACATTGTGGAGGATGATGTGAAAGGAGGGATGTTCACCTTGGCCAGCAGTGGGGCAGATAAAAACAGCACCATCTCATTCAAAAGCTTATGCCAGCCTGAACAGCACTGTGGCTGCCAGGAGAAGCAGCTTTTCCCAGGCATGGAGCCATCATCCCCTTAAACCCAGTGTCTGGTGGGGTAGGATATTGTCCCCTCACCTGCTGCAGTGGAGCCGAGCAGAGGCTCAGGTTCACTGCGTGTTCTCAGCTGCTCTGGGACTTGGCCTCTTTTTTCCACCATCCTGAGCTGTCTTCCCAGGAAGGAGAGACAGGCTCACTCATGCCATGAGACAGGGATGGACTGCACATTGTGTCCTGCCCTTGGTAAGGAACTTCTGCTAGCAGCTGTGCAGGGAGATCTGGTGGTCCACAACTTTGGAGGGAAAAAAAAAGCATCAAAGACAATGACAAATCACCAGTCTGAGTGCAAGGGATGTCTTTAACACAATAGCCTTGGAATCCCTGATGTCAATGACTTAGACCTACTGGAGCGAGTCCAGAGGAGGCCAAGAGGATGATCCGAGGGCTGGAGCACCTCTACTGTGAGGACAGGCTGAGAGAGTTGGGGCTGTTCAGCCTGGAGAAGAGAAGGCTCCAGGGAGACCTTCTAGTGGCCTCCCAGTACCTGAAGGGGCTCCAGGAAGGCTGGGGAGGGACTTTGGCCAAGGGCAGGGAGTGACAGAACGAGGGGTGATGGCTTTAAACTGGGAGAGGGGAGATGGAGATGAGATGTGAGGAAGAAATTCTTTGGTGTGAGGGTGGTGAGACACTGACCCAGGTTGCCCAGAGAAGCTGTGGCTGCTCCTCCCTGGAAGTGTTCAAGGTCAGGTTGGATGAGGCTTTGAGCAACCTGGTCTAGTGGAAGGTGTCCCTGCTGCTGGCAGGGGGGTTGGAACTGGATGAGCTTTAAGGTCCCTTCCAACCCAAACCATTCCATAGTTCTATGACTTAGAAATGTATCTTTGTTCCTTGAGGTTGGAAGGAAGTCTCCTGCTGATTTCATTGGGAAAGCATCACCTCCCCTTCATGCCTGGGGGTGGTTCACTCAGGAGCTGGAGGAGTTTTTGACTGTGCCACCACTCCAGTGTTGTGCACTGTGCCAGGCTGGGGGAGCTCCACGTTCACCACGCAGCTGGCCCAGAGGACAGACTGGCTGGTGGGCTTGTGAGCTGCCTCATCACAGCTGCCAGAGTCAGGCAGGAGGTCACCAGCCCCAAGGAGCTCACTGGATGGATCCCAGTTTGCAGAAAGGTGAAGTACCCGAGCTAGCAGCTCAGCAGCCACCAAAACCAGCTGTCTTTCCAGACACCTGGAAGCAACCACAGTCACCTGTGGAAAAAGGGCTTAAAAAGAGCTTCCTTAGGAGAGTCTCCATGAAGCAGGTGTTGCTCTTGGTGGGTTCACTCACCCTGATTGGCTTCAGCCAGCGTGAGCCTAGTTGTTTCCCAAGTCTTCTGGGGAAAGGGCTCCTGAGCAGGGGCTGAGTCCCAGAAAGCATCTGTTGGTTAAACCCAGGCAGAGGTGCTGGCGTGAGGCTCTGCATTTTCTGAAGTGCAGGTTGTTTTTAGAGACTGATGCCTTTGGGGAGTCTTTCTGTGCTGTGGGAAAAGCCATCAAGCCAGGAAGGGTTGTCAAGCCTCTCTGATGATTGCCCAGAAAACGAGATGTTTGGAAGTCAAGGCCTTCTAGGGCCCAAATGATGTGAGACAACATATGAGGGGCTGCAGTATGCACAGGAGCTTTGCCCAACCTCCCGCGGGATGGGTGAGTCTAATCAGGCACTGGTGGTTTTCTCCAGGGGAAGACGACGATGACGATGAATGCGGGGAGGAGAAGCTGCCCTCTTGCTTCGACTATGTGATGCACTTTCTGACAGTCTTCTGGAAGGTCCTTTTTGCCTTCGTGCCCCCAACAGACTACTGGAATGGCTGGGCTTGCTTCGTTGTCTCCATCCTCATGATCGGCCTCCTGACAGCTTTCATTGGCGACCTGGCCTCCCACTTTGGCTGCACCATTGGCTTGAAGGACTCGGTCACTGCGGTCGTGTTTGTCGCGCTGGGGACATCAGTGCCAGGTAAGGACAACAACAGGGTTTGTTGTAAAGGTCCATTTCTGCCCAGTCTGGGTTTGGGTTTGGGCTGGGAAAGCTGGGCACAACAAGGTCCCCAGCTGTGCTCTGCAAGATCCTCAAGGACAGATTTGAGGTCTGCTTGAAAGTTGTTTTGCAGTCTCAGATGGGCCAGGAGGATCAAACCAGAATGTGGATTCAGTCCCTTGGGAATTATTTCAAGAACTTTCCCCTTGCAAGGACTGTGAAGTGCCTATTTCTGCAGACAGCCTCCACGGCATCCACTCTGAGAGCAGGAAATTGGTCTTTGATAAAAATGCTGCCTGCGTTGGCAGTCCTGCGTTCTCCTTCTGAGCCTCTGCTCCTTTAACCTTACCTCCTAGGTAAGTTAGGTGCTAGTCTGTGCTCAAGGTGCTCTGCCCAGTGCAGACACCTTTCTGTGAGACTAGGTTCAGCTTTGGTTCAGGTGGATCAAGGTGAGGTCACTGAGCTTGGGGAGATGCTCAAAATGCAACTTGTGAAGCCCTTGGAAGTTGGCCCCACAAATGTTTGGAGATGTGTCGCTGATCAAGTGGTGACCCAGCCTCAGAAGACAGCAGAGACTGAGGACTGACCAGGGAGAGGAAAAAAAAACACGTGTTTCCATACCTACATCCCACTTTGTCCTCCCAGTGCACATTGACTTGCTACAACCCAGCCTCCTTTTCTGCTGGCTCAGCAAAGGACCCCTCATAGGGATGAACCAGTGCACTGGAGAGGATGGTCCCAATGACACAGTTGCTCTGGGAATTCCCATGTCAGCTTGTGTGAGAGAGCCTGTGCCTTTCACTCACCTTCATCCATGGGCTGTGCTGGCCAGGCATGGCCTGTTCCCAGTCAAGGGCCTCTAACCCCCCGTGTCGGTCACACCTTCCCTCGCCACCCCCAGACTTCCAGTGATCAACATTTGGGTGCTTGAAGACCTTGAAATTGTCCTAATGCTATCAGAGCCCAAAAAGGAAGAAGAAGAACAGATTTGGGCGAGGAACAGAAGAAAGAGCATTTTTTAGACCTCTGGCACTTTTAGACATGAGGTTTGTAGAGCTATCTCACACCCTTGACAGCAAAAATCTTCCCTCCTGCTTTTGTCAACAAAGTTCTTTTTAGGATACGTTGGGCTACTCTTGTTTGAACTATCAGATGCTCCCAGACCATGTCATGTTAGCTGGGTGCTAGCTGGGCTCCTCCACGCCAGGGAGGCGCAGGGTGCTTTCCAGGAGGTGAGCAGGCATCAGATGAACGTGCCGTGAAATCGAGACTGACAAGGACCTTCCCTGCATTTTCGTTTTCCAAGCTGCACTCTGCTGCCTGTACCCAAGGTGAGTTGGGAGTGCAGATGCGTTAAGGATTCATCTTCTCATCTTTAGCTGAGAGTGCTCACCTCTGGACAAAACCCAGATGCTAACCCCTGCTCCTGCTCACCACCCTCCTTGCAGATCCAAAGTGGGTTTGGATGTAAAATCAGCACTTGCCTATGGTGCAGTGTCCTGCTGGGCTACTCAACACAAGATCTGCCATGTGAAAGGCTAGTTGAGTTTTATCACAGCTCTTTTGCTAATGATATTAAAGCTGGTGGAGCACCTGGGCAAGCCTGCATGGTTTTTCTCCCTAAGGGGTTTACCAAAGTGTCAGGGTCTGCACAAGGCACTGGACTTTAGTGAAGCAAAAGGTTTTGGAGAGACATCATTAGAGCAAACACAAAAACACAAATACAAAGCTTCAGGGGGACCTGAGGGATAGATACAAACCGCTGTGGTTCCCACAATGCTTTCCCAAACTTTTTAGTTCTTTTGGAAGTCAACAAATTGGTGGGTGTGGGAGAAGGGACCAACACAGTGTAGTACTGAGAAGTGTTGTCTCTTGCCTGGAGAAAACACTTGTTACAGCGATCGTCCTTCCAGCCGTGTCGGTTGAGTGTTGCAGGTGATACAGGTGTTTTCTCTTGTCTCTTGCGCTGTGGGGCATCTGGGGCCATACTGGGGGAAGCCCCATATTTCTGGACATTGAGATATCCCTCCTGGGCATTTCTGGACCCCAATTGTCACTCTGGCTCTGGCCAAGATGTGCCCTTCCTTGGGAGTGACCAGAGATGGGGCTGTACCCTGTCCCCTTACCCACTATCTTCATTCCACAAGTGATGCCGTTGACACTTGTCCCCAGGCTGCCTGCTGCTGTCCCTCCTTACCTGGCAGTCTCCTGAGGGTTTCTCTCCACCTTCCCTTTGCAGACACATTTGCCAGCAAAGTAGCAGCGACGCAGGATCAGTACGCGGATGCCTCCATCGGAAACGTCACCGGAAGCAATGCCGTGAACGTTTTCCTGGGCATCGGGGTGGCCTGGTCCATCGCGGCCATCTACCACGCGGCGCATGGACAAGCCTTCCAAGTCTCGCCCGGCACCCTGGCCTTCTCCGTCACCCTCTTCACCATTTTTGCTTTTATCAGTGTGGGTGTGCTGCTCTACCGGCGGAGACCCGAGATTGGAGGTGAGCTAGGCGGGCCGCGGACTTCCAAGCTGCTCACATCTTCACTCTTTATCCTCCTCTGGCTCTTGTACATATTCTTCTCATCTCTGGAAGCCTACTGCCACATAAAGGGCTTCTAAAGGAACAATCAGAGATAGTAAATATATATATATATCTATATGTATCTATATAGAGTGATATATAGGTATAGATATAGATATAACGCTGTGTATAATGAACAGAGAAAGAATAAAAGAGATTTGCCATGTTCACACACCTGCTGATGGAAAGCGGCTTTGGAGCATCCTTTGAACTAGGCAGGACCCCAAAGCCAGCAGGACCCCTCCCTGGGCAGCGGCCCCAGCCGGGAGCCCGGCAGCAGGGCCCTCTCTGCAACTCTACCAACAAGAGATATAGATATAACGCTGTGTATAATGAACAGAGAAAGAATAAAAGAGATTTGCCATGTTCACACACCTGCTGATGGAAAGCGGCTTTGGAGCATCCTTTGAACTAGGCAGGACCCCAAAGCCAGCAGGACCCCTCCCTGGGCAGCGGCCCCAGCCGGGAGCCCGGCAGCAGGGCCCTCTCTGCAACTCTACCAACAAGAGCAGCTGA